AATAGAAAAGACCAGACATAAAAGAAAATTTTTTTATCAGGGATTGAAAAACTTAGAATCTCAGGGAAAACGAAGAGTGAATACACATGCACCATTGACAACAATTTGAGCTATCTCATTCAAAGTGTCTAACTAATGGTTATGATAATCACTCAAATATAAGCTAAAAACTTATCTATTATTTGATTAAGCTTACTTATTTCGCATATTCTAACTTGCAAGAAAAGAAAAACAACGATTACAATATTTCTTACCTCTAGCTTAGAATAAATTATATATCTTTTAAACTGCTTTTAAATAATAACAAAAAATAAACGATATACTTAAATTTCTATATTTTTTTCTTTTAACAGCTGCTCATTTTGGTATTGCATTACCCAAATGGATGATTCAAAAAGAAAATTTCTATCTAGTATGTTAACTGTTTTACATTCATGTATAAATTGTACTTTTGTCTTGTTTTTTGTTTTATACTCATTTAATAGCAAATGTTCGTAAACTTATTTTCATTTGTTCATTAGTTACTAAGAGGGAATGATGTATCAATAGATATAAGCTCTACATGATTATTAGTTTCATAGAATATACTAAACGATAATTCTAACTAGATTTTAAACACAATTGTACTATTTTATATTTTATCGATAAATAGATTTAATGTATTACTAAGTGACATGTTAGTGTAGCTTGGTTAATTATGTTTACTAATAGTCGATTTATTATATTCTGAGTATTTATTTATCTCATACTTTAAATCCATTTGTTCGTCTTAAAGTATTTACTTCTTAGGTTTAGTTATCCAGCATATTTGATATACTTATTCTGTTCTTCTGTTTCTTTCTTATGCTAATACTTTTTTCTTTTGTTGTATTAATAATTTGTGTAACATGTTTGACTAGTACTTATCTTTCTAGGTGTTTTATTGTTGTCTATTACTGATGACTGTGTTCCTAGCTGATATTAATGTTGTTTAGTACTCCTTGTATATTAACACACTTCAGTCAGCTTTTCCTAGATCAAAACAAGAATTCGAAGTAAATAATATAGATTCCAATAAAAAAAACAAAACAAATCTCTTAGTATTTTGTATTATTTGTTTGAATTTTCCCATTGATGTTTAAGAATACGATTGGTCAGTCTCTTATTGGCATATGTGGATCCTGTACGGATTGCCTTGATATTGCCTTAAGTCACAAGCATTATAAAAAAAGATGGATATTGGGTAACTGACGAGTCCCAAAGTCTTTATTGACTACAGTATTTTAACAGTTAATGACTACTGTTTGATGTTGTGGTTGGTTCTGTCAACATTGATAGAAAGTCCACATGATGCCTCTAAGTATGTGTGTATTCTGTTTAGAAAGATTGAATAGACTGATTCTTGTTTTACTACGATATCAGTTTATTTTACATGTCTGACAGTAAAGGTCTGCATAGAGAGGTATTTATAGAGTTCACCAGTTTGTTGTAAATTTAAACCGATTGTATGCAATTTATTGAATTAATTAGATGATAATCTATTTATTTATTTTAACACATAAGTATAGGTACAGAGAGGCACCAAGTACATATGCGCCACACGAATCTCAATTGATTTGTGTGAGGGCTGTGATACTGCTCGGGTGCCGAAACCGAAGCAGTTGGTTTTCTTAGGGGGCCACACCCCGAGCCTTCGACCTGAACGTCTGACCCACAAGGCAGTGGAGCATCGTGAGGAGATGCAGTCCCATGGTAGCCGGTGACCAACGATTGGTTCATACGCCATTTGTTCCCGCAGGATACTGGAGCCCATGTGCACCATTGGTTTGGGGTCCGGTTAAAGCGCCAGACATTCGCTTTTCGTCCTCTCATTTTTATAAACAACACCCCCGCCACGAGAAGGCAGTGAGTAGGACTTCCCTTGCAGAGGCTGTATACGCATGGACATGTGAGAGCATTTCGAGAGGGAAAGCGGACTCTCCCCACCCTCGGCCGTACCAGGGCATTTGGGGGCAGATGATAATCTAAGTTACACTAGGATGAATCATGTTTAGAGAGAAGTTGGCATACAATACGTTAAATCCTAATCTCGTTCATATCTTTTTTCTATCCTCAATTCTCATGTTTTTTAATAAAAAGTTATTATAGGTCAGACAATATATGGTTTAAAACTTGATCTAATGTTTCAAAAGATTTTCTAATTATTTGCAGACATTCCAACTATTTCATCTTATTCTTAGACTAATATATATATATATATATATATATATATATATATATATATATATATATATATATATATATATCTGGTGCTATATTTGAAGCGATCACGAGATCACCGAAGTCGGCTAACCAACGAAGGATCAGCGACACAACGAAAAGACACGCTAAATTATTCTGATATGTCCCAGCTCTGCTAACTAGCGGGAGAACACCCGGTTTAGATGAGGCAAAGGTATATTCCACAGCACTCAGAAGCACGAACAGCAAAAAGCAAACATCTCAAGCGTATATATACGGCATAAAAATGTCCTTCGAAAATGTCATAAAATAGTGTATTAAAAGTGGGAAACGAACCGATGATTTATAGGGTTTTTCCAAATGAGAAATACAATCTCAAGGTACAACTGGGCACCTTTGGCGCGAAAACGAGACATTAAATTTTTTAAAATGAAATTACGAAAATAAGACGTTTACCAAGTGATTTTTGAGGGTTCTAGTATTCCCAACATCTGGTATGCGAAAACCTTCCAACGGGTCAGAAGAAACACTTATCTACTTTTTGTAAATTTAATCTTTTTTTTTCGAATTTTGTCAGGGTATACACCACATTTGGTCATGTAAATCAAGTGTTTTCTTTTGAAAAAAGTATTATTTTCTTACAACTGTTTGTATTATTTACATATCCAATTTAACTGTGTGGTAAACTTTATTTTTAATTTGTCAACTTTTGATCGGTATTTAGTTGTGTTTTTGTGTTTGTGGGTGTGTGTTTAATTTTATTTCTGTCCTCTATACACATAGGTTATTGGAGCATATGTATTACTGTTCATGATGATATTGCCAATTTCGGTGGTATGTTTATTATTGTTGTCTTTTGTTTTCCTTTTTGGTAACAAAAGTAATTGGTCAATTTAGTTATTTTTTCTGAAGTTGAACTTTGACACGCCTAGTCAATTAAAGATTTAGTGGATCTTTATCTGATTGCAATTGGTTCGTATGAATGATTGCTATCGAAATATACATTCCAGCTACCCTCGTATATTATTATCGACTTAATCCGCGTTAATGAATGATCAAGTTAAATAAGCCAAATACGAGAATGGCCTTTGAATACGTATATTTTATACAATCGGTGATCCAGACAGACGACCAGGAAAACGAAGCGAAGAAGAGAGAGCGGAGCAATACGAAATGACGCGCAGTGGAGAATGAGAGTAAGCCAACTCAAACCTTACTCAATATTAGTATTCAGACAAAAATAAATTACAGATACGTAATGAATAGAATAAGCAATTAACACATATATTCGATCACACTAAGACAGTCAGGGTTAATGAGTGAATAATTGACAAGCTCAAAATGTGGCTTGAAAAGAATGAATATGTTAGTCTGTCCAGAAGCTAGAATAACTTACAAGATTTTAGTGTAAATTGTTTTTAGGGTAAGCAAATGCTTAACAACTTTGTAGTAGTTAAACGTTTTAGTGTTTAATTATTTGTATGTTGCTTGATTTTCATATCAAGATATGTATTTTAAGAGGCGATAAACTTTGTTCTTCACTAAGGTGTCAACTATTTATTACTCAAATCGACTAGAAGACCAGAACCTAATAGTTTCTTCTCATTAGTTACAAATTCTTCGTATAAGTTCTTAATTTCTGTAGTCAACAATTTTTATCTGTCTTATTAAATATAGCTTTAAAAATGTATCTTTTCCATATTCAATATAATCTTTTGCTTCATAACTTTATAATTTGGTGTTATATTTTGGTCTAAACACTAAAATATTTCTCTTGTAACTGCTTGCGGGTATTTTTTTATTTCAAGGAAGGTACTGATACAAATTGTTTAGATCATAATAAGCATTCAAAAAAATACAAAATCTTACTATTTATGTTTAAATTCTTCGGTAACTTACTAATGGGTGTCAAAAGTCTCAGTAATGGGAATGCAGTAATTGCTATGAAAATACTATATGTTCAATTCGTTCGTTCTATATGATAATCTACAATGTCATTCTCTAAAATAGTTCACATTTAAATATCACATTGTTTGTTATCTTTTAGGCAATAAAATCATATAATATTACACCATGTATATTGGTTATCTGATCGGTCATTCTAATTGGTAACATATTTCGTTTAGTTAAAATTCTTCAATTCGTTCTGGCGTTAGCATCCACTCTGCATTGTATTACATCCTGACTATGATATAAATGAATCTTGCAACTAGCGAATAAGTTTTTAGTTTCAGCAATAGTAAATTCTTTAGTCGAAAACCAGCCTAAGTTTAAAGTACTGTTATGCCAACTGATATAATGGGACAAACAAGTAAGCAATGCTGAGGTTAGGCATAGAGTACCGGGTAAACATGACAAATCAGCTGATGAGGTGATGAACCTTCACCAATTGAGATGGTTGATATATGTACTAAGCTTGCTCAACCATAGCCTATCTCAATGAGCGATATTCATTGGTCTAGATTTGAAGTGAGTTAGTATTGACCATACCAAGTCACTGACTACTGGACTAAACTGTAGTGGTAGATGGAAAATATATGGTTGGAGTTGTTGCTACTATCGTAACCAATAAGTAGGAATTATGAGTGACATAGCTTAGCATCAGTCTCAATGGCGAAGATGCACCCACAATTTTGTTTCTGTTAGATCTTCAGTTTTAAAAATATCTTAGAATTTTATTCTCTGACTACAGTCTTCTAGAATCATGTCTAACGTTTTTTACTATCATTGATGCTGTTAATGCTTCTACTGCTCGTGCATTTGTCCTGGTAATTTCATTTTGTTAGTGTGATATGATGTGTCAACTTGAATCAATGCACATATGTGCTTGGCTTTACATTCCTTATGACCGACCGACATCTTTCTACAATTGTTCTTTTTCCGTTCTTAGTATGCAGTTTACTAATGTTTAGTAATGACAATTAGTCAACACTGATACTGTTGTTAATAAGTTAATCCTCTGTAATTGAATTAAATCCGACTCTACTTATTTCTTGAGTATGTGAGAGACTATCTTATAGAAATACAATCATAAACTGATTATGGATTTTATTTCATAGTTACATATGTTATTTTGACCATTACATCCCTCATCGAAGCGTTGGTTCAATGCTTGGAAGATATGTCTACCCTTTTAAGTTGACACACCACAATTTCAATATAGTGAGATGGTAGATTGGTAGAAGTTATAACACTATTAGTGTTTGTGCGAAAGATTAGGTATAGACGATATGATTCATGAAAAAGGAATGAGTTTGTGAAATATAAAGTGTAAAATAGTTTTGAGACCCAATATGTAAAAAAAGAAAATTATGAATATATCTGTGTCATTATGATTAAATCTAAGCCTTGGTCACTCAAAGACCTCCAAACACCACTTTAAAATAATCAGCTTCAACAAAAAATCTTTTTAACAGTTCAATGAATTATATTTAACCTTTTTAATGATGATACTTGTTCTTCAATGGTTTGTTTGCTTATTTTTTCTCTTATATTTTACAGGGTGTTTGGTGGTATAATACGATGAAATTTAGTAATAACAATGTACTGTTGGATACAATAAGATATTTTTGTGGTGCATTCATGCGTTCACCTTATATGGCAATGCCACGTATTATTAAAGTATTATCCACTGCATATGAATTCAATCCAAATTATAATAAAGAAATAATTTGTCGACCAAGTGATAATACTGAACTGCCTCCGGTTAGTTGTTTCTTTTTTTATTGGAATTTTATCAAGTTAATTTATATTTAAGTAAAGTTTTACAGCAGTAGTAACGTTATACACTGCTAGATGTATGAGTTATCGCTGTAACATATTTACTTTTTGATGGTGTGTTGTGCTCTCTGTTTAATAGTTGGTTTCAACACAATACCTTCATTGTCATTCCTAACATCATCACTCCCTAGTTTATTTTGAAGCATTTGTAATACACAAAATAATTCACCCGAACATTTGTTCATCTGGGTAAATATTAATAACCTGGCTAAAATTTTTGGGTCATTATATCAAATGTTTATTTATCTTCATAAGTTTTCCTGTCTTCGATTCGATTTCGTTAACTAATTATGTGTGATAAGTGCATGTACTTGTTTGCCTGTATATATCATTTACAAGTTATTGAGAAGTTAATGACTACGAAGTACCACCACAATATTTCATATACCTTCCTCCCATGTTCTTTGGAAGAACAAGGAGTAATACCTATGCGATTCCTATGTTAAATATATTGTTAAGTGATAGAGATGGGTGTTCCGAAAGAGAACATAACTAATTGTAAACGTTTATGCATGCATATAAATGGCGGCAAATTGACGTTTAAAATATTTAGTATCTATATGTTTTTAAATATTCACAAGCTAAATGCTTATAAACCCGGTAATTCACTACAGTATTGCATACTTTGTACTGTAACCTCAGTACTCTAATCCAACATATGATATTAAATGAAGCCGTTTATTATTATCATCATTATTTGACTAGTTTGATGCGGCAATATTGTCTATAACCAGGTCAACCTAAATTAATTCAATGTTTTAAAGGTAGTTTTCATCTAGTGTCTGTCACTGAAGTACTGAGTAGCTGTTTTACTCTATTTTTGGAATGTTTACCTATATAAACCCAAAATACCATTTATGTATGGATCCAAGAATTTTCACAAATTCCATGGTTTGTGAAATCACTTAATGTCACAAGAGTGAAGCAGTTATACTCATCAACGATAACATTGAATGATGGTGTCATCTATAATTCTAGTTGATTAAAGTTTTAAAAAAATGAGAACCATTCGATGTGGATTTTTGATCAGTCTTTTTTTGTCGTACGCCCAACGTTTTATGGTTATCTCGGTATAGTTGATTGTCGAAATGTACTTGGCTAAAGTTCCAGTGTAAACATTGACACTGGATACAGGTACATCCACCTGATAACTCTCAGATAAGACGAAACACGCCTTTTAGATTTGACTGGTACTCACAATCTATCTTATTTAAAAACATAATGGAGTATTGTCTAAAATACGAGTGTCGTCTTCAAACATACAGCATAAAATATAATGTTATCAATTTAGCATTATTTTGCTTAGCTTAATAGTCAGAGATCTACACAGTACAGTCAACACTGAACAACTAAGGTGTTTTTATTTGTTATTTGAATGTTATCATCTAATTACAGGTATATCCAATCAGTCTGTTTAAAAACTTATTAATTTATTCTTTTTTTCTATTTTCATATCATTTTTTAGTTAATTATGCAGATACCATTCTTCACAATTTTCAAAAAAGCCATCGTTGGATCACCATATTCAGTGAAAGCTAGAGCATTGATTTATGCACATTTGGAACGTTTAGAGCTTCCAGCTAACACTTTACATGTTGGTAAGTATTCGTACGATTTCTTTATTGTTCCTTTTTCATCGATTCCACTTTTTGTCAGTATGGGGATTTGTAGAGATTGTAGGATTTTAACAGTTGAATTCACTAGTCAATCTGGGCTAAACCTGAAAGCACTGGGTCGTGGATGCGTCCTGCTGAGAAGTCCCGTACTAGAACGGTACGGCCGTCCAGTGCTTCCATGTTTTCAATAGCTTAGATGGACTCGTGAATTCAAATGTTAAGGTTCTGCTTTTACCGATGGAGTATTGCATATGAAATCATATGATTTGACTGAACGACTTAATTTATTTACACTTACGGTGCCTGTAGTTCGACTAAGATGTGCATATCGAATAACAACCTATCTTTGAAATATCTTCACATGTTGCTTTTTTCATGAAATGGAAAAACATATTACTGTGGAATTACGTATGACGATTAAAATGTGAGAAATAAAAGACAATCATCTATAACTGTTCTTTAAACTCTCGGTTCTTCATTGTAAACGTGATTTTGTCTAAGAATGCAATGAAAACTGAAAATGTATCGAATATCTGGTTCACTACAAACTACTCCGTATATCATGATTAATTAATTCTACAGGGTTCAACATCATGTAAAATTGTAGCTATAGATTTATAGTTTTTTTTTAGCTGGGAACCAGGACAGCTATTCAATCGTTCATCTTTCCCAACGGTTCTACGATTGATGTCAACTTGTGATAAATATTTTTTTAAACTAATGAATTAATCTCCGATAAATTTGATAGGTTGTATTATATTGATGAATATATTTAATGTCCAATTGATTAGTCATTGAATAATGATTCATATTATGTTCGTTTAATCGTTTAGTGCTGATCGAATCCTATCGAATAAGTTCCGATATGGTCACTGGTCTAAGTGACTGGACATCGCATACATCATGTTAAGATGTGGGGTAATTAGAGGTAGTCAACAGGAAACTTTATAGGTTTCGTGTTGGTTCGGGTCTGTCAGAAAGGCATAGCTTCAATCTCAAGGTAATTGATGAGAACCCGTACCATCCAGTCTCTTAGTATGTGATATTATTACTCAGTGATCCGGCTAACGACTGACCCTCCATAAAGGGTACACATCATTTACAAGCGCCAACCATCAAGGAACTTAGGTTCAAAGTTTCCCACCAACCGATTGTTTTCAACCACCTTGCATAGATTTGTATCTATGTAAACTGTGTATGTACTTGGATCGCATGCGTACGCTCTTGTTCTGACGGACAGAACCTCAAGTAATAGCATAGAACTCCAGAATAGATTATTTCATAAATAGTTTGATGACTCTTTGTAAAAATTTTGAAGAAAACTAAGCTTAAATGCATCAATGGGAATGTAAAAAGTGTTTAATATTATCATAGAGATTTTTTAATTATCGTTCTTATATCTTGTGGATGACAACCGAGGGTATTTCTAGTTTGCTAAAATCAATAGTCAGTAACTATTCATTCCTGTTTCTTGTTGAATATTAAGTTTAATTACTCGGTAGCTAAAATCCATCCCTGTATATTTCGTCCGCTTGAAAGTTGTTGCTTTTCTAACCTACTAATCAGTAGTATAAATGGGTAATTAATTTTAAGTAATTCTTGTCGTTGAATAAAGAATGACTGCTCTAACTAGTCTCAAAAGCAGAAGAGTCAACTTTTATTAAGTAATTAAATGGCCTCATAAAATAAACACACTAAACATATCACTCAGTGGTCTAAAAGTTATGTGCCGACCAAGAGATCTTAAGTTCCTGGGTCTGATCCCCGATTGATCGTGGATACGTTTATTTATTTATTTATTTTAATACATAGATATTGGTACAGGGAGGCACCAAATACATATGCGCCACACAGATCTCATTTGATATGTGTGAGGGCTGTGATACTGCCCGGGTGCCCAAACCGAAGCAGTTGGTTTTCCTAGGGGGCCACACCCCGAGCCTTCGACCTGAACGTCTGACCCACAAGGCAGTGGAGCATCGTGAGGAGATGCAGTCCCATGGTAGCCGGTGACCAACGATTGGTTCATACGCCATTTGTTCCCGCAGGATACTGGGGTCCGGTCATAAAAAAGATCATAAATCCTTAGATACTGCTTATGATAAGGAAGTCATGAAATTGTTTAAGGTACTTTGAGGTTTCTTTTTTAAGTGCTTTAAGGCATTTCATTTTTTCATTATCGTTCATGTAACAGAAGTCTTTTGAGTAAAATTTAACAACCTGTGTTTCAGTCATCCAGTCATAATGAAATTGGAACGTGGCATAAATATTCACTAACCTAAGTTGTCATACCCAATTATCACACACAAGATGAAATCAAAATAATCAGTAGAGGAGTTAAAGTAATGTAGTAGCTTTGATAATAAGAAAAGCTATGTATTGAAAATATATTTCAAGAGAATGGAATGAAAAAGTAAGTATGAAGTTATACTAAATCACAAGACGTTCAATAATATAAAGAGATTATACATCTACGCTCTTGTGATCGATCGTAAATTATATTACCCAAGGCGTGTGTTTAACCAGGGATCGTAGTTATACAATCCGTATCTCTTTTCATTAATTTTTAACTCATTCACAATAATTTATCAAACATTTTGTTCTCGGTAGTTTTTTCTGGTCTGTTTATCTTTTTCCCCTTGTGTTTTTGTTTTCATATTTGCAGATAGACAATATATTATTAAACATTCGCCTCGTTTAATTGACGAAATGATCAACAGTCTGCTATACGTTCTAGCTGTGGCAATGGACGAAGGTTGGTTGAGCGATGTAATTGTGTTTTTTTAGAAAAACTTATCTGTTACCTTAATGTTGATTTGGTCAAGTACAAACCATTATTACTTTTATTGATCCACACATTTTGTCCTATTTGGGGCTAGTTATCTGACTGTATCTTCATCCCACTATTGATGTTTAATTATCAAAAAAAAAAACGCGGGATGATCCGAATCATTACAGACAAAATTAAAATTCTTACCCGTTGCGCAAATAGGTGGCTATTTGGATTCAGTAGCTAAGGAGTTGACGCTTTAGTTTTTGGAGCGAAAAGTACTAGTTTCATATCCTGGAATGAACATCAATTCTGGGGTGCAGATACCTCTTTCTGACCAGTACCAAATAGGACGAAACGCGTGTTCTGGATCCCATTGCTAGCTATATTCTATCTATTTAATATAAACTTATGTTATGACCGTAATATAGAGGCAATCCTAACGGGTTGCATAAATGCCAGCCAAGACTGATCAAATTTCAGTCAAAAATATTAATAACAAAATAATACAAATCATTACACATTAAATATATTGTTATTATTGTTAGCATTGTTGCCTTCTTGCATACTGTCCTTGTTGCAAAGGAATTTAACATGGTCTTACCGTAAGAAACAGGATTTCAAAATCAGCCAGATGATAACCTATAGACTTTGTCACGTAGTTAGTAGTCACTGATTTCAGATATATCAGAATATATGACCGTATAGGTGTTTAGGGTGACAGTGGTTGGATGAATAAAATTTTACAAAGATCACATATATATTCCTTCTAAATTATCAACTCAACTCCTTTCTGATGATGATGACCTGAAAAAAATTAATGATAATTTCGTGTAAAAATATATATGTAAGCCTTTTTTAGCATATCGAGTACTGAATTGTATTGCTCGTTTAAACTGGCATGATTGATGTTCTTTCTGTGTATCACTTATCAAATAAGTCATGATTATTCGATTGCGCACAAATAGTTAGGGTTCAAACAGTAAAGTGCTGTGCTGAATTTTCAATACGAACGTCAAAATGGTATGTCGGTGCATTTATCTGAACAGGTTCAAAATAGGACGAAAGACGCATCCTGAATTCGATTATTATCCACAAGTTATTTATTCTATGTAAACTTCTGACAATATGACGATATCGAAACAATCTGTCCTCAGTGTATCTGCCAACAAATGCTGACTAAAAATACAGTTGAGAATGTTGACAACTGGTTATTTCTTTATCCTTGCTAATAATAATATAAATTGAATTGTTGATTCATTAGAAACAATTTTACAACTTACAGCTAATATCTTGCCTAACATTTAACGGAGAATGTGGCTGGCTATGTCCTGCATGATAGATTAGGAGGGGGCAGTTAATAGGATATTCTACATAGCTGATCTTACGTTGACGTTTTTTAATAGACTAGTGATATCTGCACAAACAAAAGATAAGTTACCTGAGTTTACCTCTTCAATGTGCATTTAAAAATTCATCTGCTTCTGTAGAGACAGCTATAATCGGCTTACTATTAGGCAATTTAACTAATAAATAAGTGAACATCTCCCAGATTGGTTTGGAAAAGATCAGGCAAAGATAATACATAGTTTTATTTTGGCACAGTTGGTTAACATTGGTCATATGATAGATAAAGCCAAATCATTTAAAATGGTTTATCGCATACCTTTATCATCTCGCAATGAGGTTCGATTCTGTCTCATACATATAACAGAATCTATAAGGGTTCGAGCCTATAACCCTAATGTATACGTTCAGAAGAAATTTGTGACAATCTTATCCCTTCCTTGACTGTATAGGACGTAGTAAACGATTTTTGTCATTTTGCTTTTTTTTCATTTATATTTTTCACTATCTAATTATTTACACACTTCCTATTACATAATTTTAATATTATGTTGCGTTATTATTACTTTAACAATTTTTTAGATCCAAGTTTAGCATATTTCTTATGTTAACTAGAAATTTTGTTTTCTTATCATTACCACTCGTAAATCTGTCTACTTAACATTAATTTGTACTTTTATCTAATATCAGAAAGGGGTTTTTGTGGATGTTATAGTAATTTAATAGTTTAGTTCCTGAGTCAATCAAAGCTAGACCACCATGGAAGCACTGGAATCCTGTGGGGTAGGATCGTGGATGCACACTGCTGAGAAATCACACAATAGGACGAAACAACCGTCCAATGCTTCCAGGTTATCCATGGTGATCTCGCTTCAAATTGACTTATGAACTCAACTATTATTTTACCTGATAAATAAATCCACCAAATATACAGTTGACATTCTTCACAGCTAACAAATGTTTTTTAAGCACTGAAGTACATACCACAATTTGAAATGTGTTTTTTTTATGAACTGTTGTCTGTGTAAAAGAATAATCTAGAAATATGCGAAAAATATAGTAATACATGGAGCATTTATTTCTGTCTTCTTTTAAACCTCATAATTCAGAGTTTTGTTTGTAAAACATTTTGAACTTGTTAGAGGTTTTTGTTCACTTGCTTTTATTCTACCACTTAAGTTTTTTTTGTTATTGATATTGAGTTAATCAGAGTGACTTGTATGTACAGACAAGACATTATTTAATCAACGATGTTATCAAAGAAAAAAGAGTGAATTTAATACGCATCATACAATAAAGGTTACAATTGATCTATGTTATTCATTTCTAAACCTAGTCCATTCCAGTTTGTTCGAAAGAAGACGGTCAGTATTAGAAAACGCTAGACAAACATGACATTGGTCACTCCTCAGTAATCAATCAGTTATATATATATATCAGTTATATATATATATATATATATATATATATATATAATACACCTACTGTTTTTTTTATTATACTGTTCTAGCTAATTCAAGACATAAAACACCGCAACACTTAGCTACCATAGAAAATTGTATGCATTTAATTCCGATGCTTGTTCAAGCGCTTACGGACAATGCTTCACCGTTACTTCAACTTCCACATATTACTCAAACTCAACTTAGACATATGGCGACTAAACAAGTAAGTTCATTGTAAACGATATTAATGTTTTCTATCGCATTAAATAATCACTAATATTTCATTGAAATCATAGACCGATCAATGTTAGACTAACATTGAAAAACTGCCATCACTGGACGACCGTTTCTTCCTAGTGACAGTTCGGTTGTCTAGAGGCTAGACGTTCATGCGCGAGACTGAATGTCCTGGGTCTGATTCCCGAGTGCAATATCGTGAATCCACACCGCTGAGGAGTCCCATGCTTTGATGGAAATGCCGTCTAGTGCTTCCAGATTTTCGATGGTGGTCTAGCATTTATCGGTTCATGGTTTCAATGAGACTCAACGATCTCCACAACCCTATACTGACGACCACAAATACGTCTAAATTTCCTAAATCTCATCATTACAAATGATAGTATGTTAAGTACGTAGAATGTTCACAATTAATTGATAACTGGATGGTGATCAGTGTCATGTGTGTCAGGTGCTTCTTAGTGCAGATCGAATCCTACCAACCAAGTTGTAATATGGCCACTAGTCCATGCGGCTCGAAATTGCGTGCACTATGTTGAGATGAGATGTTGGTTGTGGGTAGTCAATGGGAAACCCGGGTTTCGTTCTATTTGGTACTTGTCAGCAAACTGTACTTGTAATCTTGAGGGAACTGATGCTCCCTGGCAGATGAGATCCCGTGTCACCCAGCTTCACAGTCAGAGGCGTTCCTTCAAGATTACAGGTATAGCTTGCTGATGAGTGCCAAATAGCACGAAACCTGGGTCCAGGGCTACCTGCACTCACCATCTTACGTAGAATGTTCTTTGGAAGTTGTTTTTTTTAAAAAAATAACACATCATCTGAGAGATAAATGACAGTATCAGCTTATCTGATTTGCTTACTTTTATCCGTTTATTAATTGTTTACCCGAATTCTAACTTTACATTTGTCCACTTCAACCAATGTACAATGTATTCAACAATGATAACTTCTGTTTTACGTGTATGCTTACTAACCAACATTTCAAATCCAATGTAAATGCATAATATATTAGCTTGTTTTTCTTAATGATAATTTACCTCACCAACTAAGTTTAACTGAAAAACATTTTATGACAGCAAAGAGCACTAAAAAGTGTCTCGTCCTAGTTTAGGACTTATTAGCTGTATACAACTGTGATTTAACATGGCGTATCTAGCTTCATCCGTTACTCTTGACCACACTACGTAGATGTCCGAGATACATGCATCCGTTTAACGTCCTACAGCGTAATGGCACGGAGAAATGATATTGTCAAGACTTAATACCAGATTAGTAGAAGGAATAAGAGTATCAATGATAGTAGTAGGAAACATTAATCATAAGCATTATGGTTTAGGGAGGTATCATAAAAAACAGAATGAATGTCGACCAACATTTCCAGTGATAACCTCGAGAACCCTATCTAGGTAATCTGAACCTGTTGACATGATTCAGTTGAACAGTCAGTTATTTCATGGGTTTATGTTACGTTTTGGTTTAGCTGCTTCACTAACTCTCTTCCCACCTACAAACATCGTACATAAAGGTTTTCGATCGTCTTACATGAATGTTCTAACCACCTCAGTCTATAAATACTCTCTGTTTCAACAATCGACTCACTATCTTTGTGTATTATCCTGCATCTAACTTCACCATTTCTCATTAAATCAAAATCAAATAGTCTGTATTTTCAATATAAGTCTATTAATCAAAAGTGTGACTGTCAGGCAGTTTATATAGCTAATGGGTGACTACTGTCGTGACTAAATATTTGACTAGTTTTAACTGGGACAGTGGGAAATTCATCTTAAGAAACTGAAGACTGATGATAATACGATAATTACTTAGGGGAGATTTCGTATAATATAAATGGTAATTTTCATCGCAAACTAACATCTAACGGAATGTAAACAGTTTCTATTTCTAACCATATTTATTCAATCAACATATTTAATATGTATTTCCCTTCACAGCGTAATATTAAATCTGTTCGACAGTTGATCAATTTACCAGATGATAAACGTAGAGCCCTTCTACGAAGTCTTTCTGATGAACAATATCGTGATATTCTAATAGTTAGTTCTTCTATGCCCTATCTAGAATTGTCCTATCGATGTGAAGTAAGTGATTCATTTCATTCTATCGATGTGCATTTCGTTTTCATGACAAACGTTGTTTAAAGTTTATGTCACAAGTTAATCTTAGTTAGATAACCATTTAAAACCGAAGATCACTGGAGAAAGGTTTCGTCTTAGTATGGGGTTCTTCAACAAAGTGCCCCCAAGACTCTGTCAGGGTTTAAGACCTAGGATCTTCAGGACCCATACGGAGCGCTTAACCTCTAAACTTCCATATCAGCACCCGATAATTCAAATTTGTAAACTATTAAATTCTATAATCTTCACAAATTCTCTATAGTAATTAGCTGTTGTTCTTTTTCTCATTTTTCAGTGCAACTTATGAATTCTGTTTCTCTTTATTTTTACTATTGTTGAATACTTATTTATTTGATAATAAATGATTATAGAAGGATAAGTACACAACACAATGTCTTGCATTTTTGTCAGTAAAATTCTGTAGCATAGCACAACTTAGACTATAAGGAGAAATCTTTGATTTTTAATTCTCTTTTGGATACCTTGTCAGCACATTCAACTGTCCATAACCGCATTATTGCGACTGCTTTACTGGTTAGTTTCGATAAACACAAAATCTGGATACAGATCTAACTACCAGTTTATTTTAATTACTAACTGATTTCAAAACAAAATGCATCGAATGTCAAATTACTTGTACGAATCACTACATCGCAACCTGGTCGATAAAATTTGATCAGCTCTGAAGAATAAACAAACACGATATAACTGTGTTATTCTATTTGCATAGCTTCATTATTTACAAACATTCAAACTACATTCACATACTGCCAAAAAGCTCCCTTATCCCAAAGTTTCTATGGACGTTATCTCAATCAGTCATAAGCAATGTAAATCATGGCACATATATTCATCGATTCAAATCCCTACATCATATCAGCATAGTGAGATCAAATTATAACGACAGGTGCCCGGATGATAGGAGTAGTAACAACATAAGTACTTGTTGAAAACATTGAGAATATGTAATATCATTCGAGAGGAAAGATTAAATTCACAGAATAAAAAGTATAAAATATTCATGATCTAAAGAAAGTCAAAAAGTGAATATTACATATCTGCGTCATATCAATCATTGTCTTCAACCATTGGTTACAATGATTGAACTGACTCGAAACATTCCGTTTATATCTGCTTACACGACACAAACTGATTGTCAGTCGAATTAATGAATTGCCCCCCATTTTAGTTTAGCTACTCTTAGCTTCCTTCCAAACAACCACACAAACAAACGTTTTTTGTCAAGGTAGACAGTTGTTAAGCGCATGTAATACTTGTTCTAACCACCTCAGTCGATCAAATATTATGCTATCTAACATATTTATTTAATATTTCAACTTTAAAAAGAAAGTTTGCTCACATTCTTTGTCATTATTACATAAGCTGCAATTTCTACTCTCATGTATTCATCACCTCCTAAAGGTTTCCAGTTATATAGATCGCAAACTATTTTAAAAGATATACAGTTATTTTGTTTCCCTCTTTGTCTCTCTACTTGCAAATTTTTCATTCTATTTCTTAATCCACTAGGTATTAGATGAAGATGATGATGATTCAAGTATTTGGCCATTTAGTATGGTTACAGTTACTGTCCTATTAAAACGTAAACCATTATTAGATCCGAATGCAGTGAATAATGCTGCAAACGTTAATGGACATACTACTAATACTAATACAATTACTACTAATTCTGGTACTACTAATTCTCCTACTACATTATCGGATTCAAGTTATTTCGATCGTGGTCAAACAATGCAACTTGATTGGAATGCCTATAATAATAATGATTCATTGAATTCTAAACTTTATCCTATCGCTGATATACATGGTACAGAGACGTTAAAATCGTTGAATTATGATGATTTTCTTGGCAGTGGTGGTGGTGGTGATGAAGATAAGGTAATAAGTTGAAGTTGTCTTTTGTCATCGTTGTTGTTGAGCTGTTCATTTATTTTGTTACCTGGTTTTCTGTTATTTTAACTGTTTGTTACTTATCACCAGCGCGCATTCCCGACCTAGCGAGCGAAAACACCAAATACAGAAGCTTCTCTCTCGTGCGTCGATGCCTAACCTCTAGACCACTAAACCGGCATCCAACGGTGTTAATGTCTACCTTTAATTAATCCATAATCATGCGTAACCTTTTGCGGTGGATAACTGTCTCATTCCCAACTCGAATTAAACTCCACTGGTCACGGCTTCTCACTAGAACTCCAGCAAATTCATCTTGAAGCTAGTCATTAGTGAGCAAATAACTTATTAGTATGATCATCTAGAGCCTCAATGATTCCAATGCTGTTTTTGCTATAATCGGATCGAGATTTCAACTGTGAAAATACTACAATTTCACAAATGCGCCATATTAATTCAATTGTAGTCAAGAACATTTTTCTGTTGCTATTGGAAGAAATATTTATCAATGTTTGCTCTGGTTCTTGAAAAATTACGTGAAACACATTGACTGTTGTATATTTCGGTCCTACTACATAGTCGATCACTATTATGATTATTTTCACATAATATGACGATTTAAGTAGAATGATTTTTTGTTCATTCTCGCATAAGTTTTAACCTAAAAGTGTACCCGGGCAGTATCACAGCCCTCACACATATCAAATGAGATATGTGTGGCGCATATGTATTTGGTGCCTTCTTGTACCGATATCTATGTGTTAAAATAAATAAATAAAATTCTCTCTGCACTAACAGTTAGTGACTTCATGAATCGGCACCATACTTTTTTATATGTTCTTTAGTGGTCTTCTAACTTATTCCTATACTAGTCATCATACTACATTGAAACAATATGTAACTGGACACATGTAACATATAGCATAACCACTGTATTAATCTATTACCCTACACTAATACTTAATCTTTAGTCCTACTCTATTTATAAGTGTTTGAGTCCTGTATCTGTTTCTTTATTTGTCATACATGTAACATTCTGTATTTTGTGCGTATGCGTGTTCCTATCATCATAATTTCCCTGTACTATTTCAGTTTGATAATTTTGGCAGTTCAACAAAGTCATCAAAGAAAACCACTCCACCTGTTTGGGATAAAAGTAAAAGAAAAAAAGGTGTACGCAAAAATAAATCACGTAAACAACAACAACAGCAAAAAAACTCTTCATTGGGATCGGAAAAAGTCAACCAATTGGAAATCAATCCTGCAGATGAAATTGATTCAGAACAAGAAGATAGTGATTCTGTTGTTGGCATTGATAGTAAGTGATACTTGTTGTTGTTTTAATTTATTTGTATTTATTGTTTTAATACTTTAATTGATGTTTAGAATTTTCAAAGTTGAATTCCCGAGAGTACATAAGCTAGACCACCATTGGAAACCTGGAAGTACTGGACGACCGTTTCGCCCTAGTATGGGACTCAGCAGTGCGAATCCACGACTCGACTCTTAAAATCCTACATTCTCCACAAATCCCCATGCTGATGTTTAGAACTGGAATTAATTAATCTTTATTTACTGTCTGAACTCAGTTGCTAGGTGAATTATGTTTTAAAGTTTGAGAAGACGAGTATCTCTGAGTGAACATCAACTCTAAGATGTAGGTATATTTAACAGCTTTACATTCTTTTGTCCAGTTCTAGCTGGTGTCCTTATTCAGAAGATGATTTAGCGGGGCGCGTATGTTATGCATCGACGGAACAAAAGCTGAGTTGTAGCTAATTAATCCCAGGAATGATCTTAGCTCAGGGATATTAATGGGAGTCGGCATCAGTTTTATAGCTCGGATGTTTTCAGGATCTGGTCTGCGACCTGTAGCATCAAAGATGAATCCCAAGTATTTAACTGACTTCAAGAAAAGCTGGCATTTTTCTGGGCGTAATGTGAATCCGTTATCGCTGACGCGTTGTAGTGCAGCTGTCGTGCGTTCTCGAAGCTGTTCTAACGATGTGGCCACAATTAAGATATCATCGTGATAAGTTGCGACCCCCGGGATACTCGATAGAATGGTATCCATTAGTTGCTGAAAAATAGATGGAGCTGTTTTAAAACCAAATGGTAGGCGATTGTACTGAAACAAGCCACGATAAGTATTTATGGTAAGTAACTCTCTCGAATCTTCAGCCACTTCCACTTGTAGATAGGCATCAACGAGATCCAGCTTTGCAAAGTACTTTCCACCATTTAACGTCGTGAACAAATCTTCAGGGACTGGCAGTGGGTAATGATGCTTTTCGAGAGCTGCGTTAAGACCTGTGGAAAAATCTGCGCATATTCGGATTGTGCCATTAGCCTTCTTAATAACCACAATGGGTGCTGCCCAGGCAGAATAAGAAACAGGTGTAATAACTCCCTGTAGTTGAAGGCGGTTAAGTTCTTCGTCAACTTTCGGTAATGCTGCGTACGGCACTGGTCTCTTTGAACGGAAGACAGGTTTAGCTCCAGGTTTCAACCGAAGTGTTGCTTTCATAGCAGTGCACTGACCCAATACAGGCTGGAAAACGGTCGGAAACTCCGTCATTAGTTCTTTCGAATATGCATCAGGTTCCTGAGGTTGTTTCACCAGATGACATACGGTGCTTAACGGAACGTCAGCTAAATGTAATCAGTCAAACCAGTCTAACCCAAGTAGATTAAGATCAGCTGGTGTGATGTAACATACCCCGGTAAACGTCGAATCGTGAAAAGACACTTTACAATCTAGTTGTCCCAACAAACGTAGATAATTACCGCATTCAGTTTGAGGTTTCTGTGTTGTTGGCATCGTGCGTGGTCTTCCCATTCTGATCCATTATTTTCGTGAGAGAATTGTTAGGTCAGATACAGTCTATTTGCAATCTGAACGGGCACCCATTGTTATTAAGGGTAATAAATTTCCTCTCACCTGGGGTTGAGTTCTGACAGTTTTCTATTAGACTCAACGAATTCGTGTTGGATCTAGGCGTAGGCTTTCTGGTACCTCTGGAGCTGCTTGGCTTCTTTTTTCCACAAAAACCATCTTTATGACCCACCGCATTGCATTTCCTGCGCCGATGTTGTTTATATGGACGGTGTCGAACAAAATGCCATGCAGCGCAGTGCCAGCATGGGGCAGGAGGATTTGTTTTTTTTCTGTTGACCTGAAGTAGATGTCGCTAGGGCAGTTTTATGCGAGTTGGGTGGTTGTTGGACTACATGAACTTCGGTAAGATCTGAACCACCACGCTGGACCATCGTAGTGTCACGCTGTAGATTGATTAGGTGTTGATATTCGTCTGCAATATCTTTGTGTTAGTTTTGGGTCTTGGTCCAAACGACTTACAAACGCGTTCTAATGTCACTGAACTTCTGAGATTGAAGGCTGCAGATGAGAATGAGTGCTTTAAATTGGTCTTCAGTAAGCGACTTCAACCGGAAGCGTTCGCATTCTCGGTTGACGATACCTACGTGTGTGAGAAAATCAGCATCTTCGTTCATAGTGAGCTTCAAACATCGATAGCGCGCATTGAATAGTGAGTTGTCTCCAAATTGTTGGCTCAGTGACTGAACAGTGTCCGAGAATGAGCGATCGCGTGGGTTTAGAGGCAAAATTAGGTTGCAATACCTGTCTAGTTCACTAGGACCCAACTTTCGAAGCAGCAAGCGGACCTTCCAAGCATCGTCCTGGTTAGCGAAGTCAAATTTGAATAAGTCTTCGTAACGTCGAAACCACATATCAAATGTGTCATTGGATTCCGGATCGTAATGAAACTCGGAGATACTGTTAGCGATACCATCCACTGATGGTGCGGTAGTGGTAGGATTAGAACTGCTTGGTTGAGTATTAGACGTAGGCTTTGTATCTGTTAACATCTGAATAAGTTTCATCTGCTGCTCGAGTAATAATTCAAGTTTGGAAGGATCCATGTTTCCGAACCACCGTCGCCAAATTTGTTATAGTTTGAAAGCTTCACTAGTTCACTTTAATTGCGAATGAGAACGAGATTCGATGACCAAGGACCAGTAAGCTAGCTAATGACGCGTCCCAGCCCCAGCTATCTAGAGGGAGAAGTCCAAGCTTGAAATGAGAAGTATATTCTACAACAACCAGAAAACCAGAGATTCTACAAGACAATTTTTAAACGTTTATATACATCGAAATTGCCATGAAGCTGTTAAACATCTAATCGATAGTTCGTCAATTGACTAATGTGCGTGGGTGGTAAGAAATGCCAACGTATACATCTGCATACAAGCTCCACAAGATAAAATTACAAGCTAAGAGTTTTTGGGGATCTATCGTCCCCAACACTACGTTAATACGACAATGAGATTACTTACGTCGTATCAGATCTAGGATTCATGATCCAGAAAAGATAATCAAAGTATAAAATAGATAATACTTTATCCAACACAATTACAAGCAGTCACATTCAGGGAGTCTGGAGTAGAAATGAATGAGAGGAAAGAAATCACAATCAATAGTCAGTAGACTAAGTCTCTGTTTGTCCACCCTCGGTGACTAATCATATTTTGCTTTCACTATCAAATATCACTCATGTTTAGCAGCTTCTTACCGTAGTTGTTACTGTTATTTCTTGTAATCTACTTTCCCACCTTGTTAATTTTCATTTTCTCGCTACAATGTGGTAAAACATGTATATCTGGATCAATATTTATTCATGCTCGCGTCTATGTCATTTATTCAGCTCCTGTGTGTTCAATTGTTATCAGTCTATCTTTGTTCTAGATTGTACAGCTTCAGCGTTTCATTACTCCTAGTTTAACATCAACTAACGAGTTAGAAGTTATTTATCAACTAAAGAATGTTCTGCTGAGGAACGTGGAAATTGTTCTCAAGTTTTCTATATCTTTGTCACTCTCGAAATTAAAGCAATGAATTCTCTATTTTTGTAGATTTCAAATTTATATCGTTGTCAACATTCTCACGCTACATAAATCCAACATGTTTGGATTCTTGATATCACAAGAGAAAGAATTAAACCATCTGAGAGAAATACTTATCAGAAATGTATATCCATCAAAATTTTACTGACAACACATATAAACACTGAACATCCAGATGTATAAGTAACTTTTGCGCTACTTAAATTATTACTTCATAAGATCGTTGATTTCCAAGGTGACAAAGCTACAAACATCTTGCATAAAACGATAACTACCTTCCACCCCCCCCCCAAAAGAAACATTTTACATCAGTCAGAATAATGGTTACAATTACCTTGAAATCCTTTTCACATTGATGGTACTCCGAAATTATGTTTTAAACATTATTGTTATTGAAAAGCATAATTTGTTGCTTTTTCAACAAATCTAACATATTTTTTGAAGAGTGGCAAAGAAGGCAACTACCTTGATAGTTCTACTTTACAAAAGATTATTCAAAAACTGCTACAAAAATGCAAACCAAAAGAGCATAGTATTTTTGTAATTGTGCTTCAGTAGAAACAAGTGCCATTCACTTTAATATACTCAAGTTGAATTGACCTGTGATAAAATGTATTATTATAGTGCTTACCTCGTTTTAGATTGTTCATTTAAATATTTTGTAAAAATAAGATTTATATTATATTCAATGTTCTGTTGAAAATCCACTAACATTGTTTCCCTTCTACTAGTAAAATTTTCAGTCAGTAATTTAATCTACTTGTATATCAATCGACTGAGATCTTATCTATCATGTAGGTTGTGAATCGATTAATTAATTATTATTATTCACACATGTAAACATTGGCACAAGGAGGCACGAAATACATATGCGCCACACTTCGTCATTCGATATATGTGAGGGCTGGAATGCTGCCTGGGTGCCCAAACCGAACCAGGTGGTTTTCTTAGGGAGCTACTCCCCGAGCCTTTGACCTACAGGTCTGATCAACAAGGCAGTGGAGAAACGTTTGTAGATGTGGTCCCATGGTAGCTGGTGATCAACAATAGGTTCATACAACATTTATTCCCTTAGGTTCCTGGAGTCCATGTGCACCAGTGATTTGGAATCAGAGTTTTCCAACTCCCCTAGATAGAATTTCTGTATCCACTAACCCGGTCAAAGCACTTGACATTCGCGTTGTATTAATTCCGTCAAACTTCATTAACAATCGCTTATTTCAAGATAGATTTTTTTATATAACAAAATACTGTAACTAGTATAGTCAAAGAAATAAACATTCATATTAGTTACAATTAGAAATCATCACGTATTAAAATCGAATAAATCTGTTAGATTTTAATATGCTAGTTAGGAAGTTTTAAGATTCTTGATGTCTAACTTCTTGTTCATCTATGTTTGCACTGTTCATTAATTCACTGTAAGTCTTTAAATCATAAATTTACCAGAGAATAATCGTTTCTTATCAGATCACTTTGACAAGTTAACATAATAGGTTACTATTACATCCCTGTTTACAAAATGATGTCTTGATCAAATTACTCTTGAAATGTCCGTTTTTCAAGTCAACATATATATCATCTTCGATAAGAATTAGTGAGGGTTTGTTTTAACAGTTATTTCACGTAAGTGATGTCAAATATATACCTACGTTTATTAGGTTACTGTCAACTGATATGTTATTCAATGGTTGAATAGGGTAGTAGTAGTAGTATTGATACGTCACCGTTTTAACTACTGAAACCTTCCCCCTCATTTGTGTTGCCTACTCAAATTTGCTGTTGCCTCTTCTGCTACTTTTCACAGTTTCAAACTTTCATTTTAAGTCTTACTATGTGCTACATCTCTATGTTTTATACTTGCAGAGATCCCAGATCACATTGGTTTTACCAATTCATCGGTTTCATCAGAATTCTCTTTAAAAGAAAAAGATGAATCTGTCCAACCAAATCATATTGATGATGGACAAGTCCAAAGAAAAACCACAACGGATACTTTCGTTGAATCATCTTTACCATCTTCATTAAATACAAATAAATCTTCAAGTAGAAAACCTATGAAACCACACAATAAATTATCTAGTATGATGGATTCAAAAACACATTGTACACATGTTGTACATTGTCCTTATTTTCCTGTGGTAAGTTGTAGTTCTGATTAATTAAAATTAGTTAATCCGTATTCGAAACTGTATGGTCATCCAGTACCATTACCATCGCTTCTTTAAAGATAGTTTATATATAAATAGATGTTATTAAGTGTCAACATTAATTACAATGTACTTCCACTGTTTTCATGCAATTTTTCACAAAGAACATTAATCGAACACAGTGTCATTGAATATCCTCAGTTTATATGAAATGTATTCAAAAATGGATAGCAGAACCGATTATAGTTTAACATTTCATACTAGGTATTTTAATAGTCAGACTGATGTTGTTAGTACTCAAAAAATAACCTGGATTTAAAAGTAACCCACTCTGCTATTCGTTATAAATAAACTGATATCATCTCCCATACTAATGTCAACACTAACATGGTTACTTAATTATATGTAGTTCTTGGGTGTTTCTAAACACTTATTATCAAATCTAATCCCGAGTACTAGTTCTTGTCAATTTTGTAACAACACAAAAAACTTGTTAGTGAATTTATATTCATCAAGTGGGGAATCCGGAGAATCTGGATGAAGTTTCATCGTAAAGTGAACTAACTGAACTGTTTTTCTCTTTCCTCAACTCAATATCCTGTGGATCTTTGAAAATATAAACGAAGATGTTAGATAATCTGAGAAGTTGGGAGGGATATTCGGAATCAGATACTCCTTATATCTCAATATCATATTTTCATCATCAATCCTTTGATATCCTTAAATTTGCGTTCTGAAATTATAGTATCTAATAAAATCGTTTGAATTATTTCATTTACGATCTGATTAGTGGATTTTTAAAACAAAAATTACAAAAGCGCAGCGTCGTAAGTGACTCATCATTTCATGACCTCTTATGTGCGTGTACCCAATAGTTCATCTACATTTCCTGGTAAGTCTAGGACTAACTTTTGAATGATTTTTGTTGGATATTTAGATGGAGTCTGATTTCTTCACATTAATTTTTGTAGAATTAAAAATTCTCCCATCACCAAAATTGAATGTTAGTTTGGGACTTTTGTCTGATTTCTTCACATTAATTTTTGTAGAATTAAAAATTCTCCCATCACCAAAATTGAATGTTAGTTTGGGACTTTTGTCTCATAATCACAATTCAATAAGGTACTTCAACCAGAACAGTAATCCTGTACCAATCCATATTTCCTAGAACTGATCACAATATAAATCTTATTTTAAGTTGTAGAGTTAGGCTAATGAAATGTGAATACGGCGTAGTCACTCAATAACATTTCAACATTCATTCATTTGTTTACTTTTTAATATAAACTATTAAGTAGTAAAAAGTGACTATATCATTACATAATTTAGTACAAAGTGCGTATGTCATGTTTGTATTCCTACTCATACTAGAGATCTACATGTATGTATGTGCTTGTGCGTTAATCTGTACTATATTTTTTTACCATCTATTCACAGGAGAAATTTGAAGGTTGGTGGATATATCTAGCTGATAGAAAAACTCGACAACTTATCACTAAACCTATTTACATTGCCACATTACAAACTGAAGAAGAGGTCAGTTCAGTTAGAATTTTATGTTGATTGTTAACTAATAATCTTTTCTCACATAGTTATTACAACCTGTAAATTGTGCATAATCTAAATATATTATTATAGATTAATGTTAGAAATGTAAATTGTTAAATGTTGATTCATCAATGTGAGAAAAAAATAACCGTACTCTCTGCAAAACCTAAAAAATAGTTGAAACCTATATAAATGTGTATGGATAAGTACGGTTGAGAAATCGCAAAAATTAGAGCTAGTCAGCTGTCCATTATGCAATTATATTAATATACTATACTACCAAACTGATCTGGATCAGAATAGTGTGTCTTTGATTTATTTTAAGCTATATTTAAAAAATAATGCTAACTAGGAGGTTGAAAATTTTTACTCTCATTTTTTAAGTTTAAATCAAGAAGTTTCGTTTTCATGATTCTGAGATCGTTATATCATATTATCATTTTGTTAACCTTTGGTTGGTTCTGAGCACTAATAATTTAAGAAAAGCTATGTGAAATTGTACATGAAAGAATTTACAACTGGTTATATAACCTAAACATATACTGATCGTCATGGCTTAAGTAATGAACAAATCTTGGCTAAATCACTATTGAAAACATAGAATCACTGGAGGGCCGTTTCCTCCTAGTATAAGGAATCCTCAAGAGTAGGCACCCATGACCCCGTAACTGAGAATCGAACCCAGGATATTCGGTCTTACGTGCGAACACTTAACGTTTAGACCACTGAGTCGGCATCCAACTGTGATAACATGACTTTAGTCAATTCACGATATACCACAACCCTCATCCTTTCCAAAGGTCCTGGGTTCGATTCCCGGCCGTGGGCTTGTGAATACCCACTGCTGAAGTGTTATAGTCTAGGACTAGACAGCTGTTCACTGCATCTTAGTTTTCAGTGTTTGTCTAGATTTGATCAGTTCGTGAAATCAATAAAATTGAACAACTTTCTCATCCCCATTCCGATGAGTTTTCAGTTATTTCTAACCATAACTATACAGAATTATATATATATATATATATATATATATATATATATATATATATATATATATATATATATATATATATATATATATATAGTTTTTGCAGACAGTTTATTTCTTTCTGTTTTTCCGATAATAATTCATTTTACAGCTACAACTTAGATTTGTGGCACCTCCTATTCCTGGTCAGTATTTGTACGTACTATCTGTTCGTTCAGATAGTTACATGGATTGTGATTTCACTGAATGTATTCGTGTATGTCTCTATTTTTTATTCTGTGTGCTTTTGATATATCACACTGGATTGTGTAATTTGCCTACTTTATGTCATATATAATGGGAAATATTTGTGGTTCAATATGACCATTGTGGAAGTGTTGTGTTCTCTAAGTTGAATAAATGACTGTTATGTCTGATATTAGTTCAGAGAAGAAAAAGCAACAGTGACCACACATTCATGGGGAACAATCCATCAAATTTCAGGTCAACACAACCAATTGGTAATTAACTGTAATCGAATTTTAAAAAAGGCTTACTTTTTAAAGTAGGCTCTGATGATGTCTTAGAATACAATGATAAGCTTCAATGCTAAACTGCCAAGCTTAGAGAACACATAGCACTTGCATAAATATAGTTATGAAGCGTTCTATACTGTTAATAATATATTTGTAAAAACGTATGACAATGATTGACTGACTCCCGATAACACTTAATCTTAAAGTGATAAACAGAAACAGTCTAAACATATTATCAATCAAACCATATTCTTAATTCACACTTGAATGTTTTCATCAACACTTTTTATAATCGTAGCAGTTAGACTTAAACTAATATAATAGTTCAAATATCCACATAGTATTTTTTTCTTCTCATTTGGAGTTCGAATTAATCATTTAGCCAGTAAAGTGTAAACTCAACGTAAATAAATCTTAAAAAGTCTGTTCAAACTATTCATCGCATAAGGTGAATACACGATCAAACTCTAAATTTCTTTGATTTATAATCAGTTGACTACTTCTCTTGTTCGCAACGAGAATAGTATACAACGGTAAAAAAAATCCTTTATAGTTAATGAATAACCGAGTAAATATCAGTGTCATGTTTGTGTATTCTTTATCTCTGATCGGATTCTATCGATCATGTTCTAATTTATCCACTAGTCTACGTGACTTGATATCGCGTGTAACATGTTGTGATATTAGTTGGTTGGAGGTAGTCCTTATGAAACCTTCCTTGCTCTAGGTTTCGTGCTAGTCGGCAGTCGTCAACAGATCCTACCTCCAATCTTGAGGGAAATGATGTTGCTCCCTATTAGATATGTGCTCACATTATCTAATTTCACAGTCTAAGGTGTTAGCACTGATGTATATGAATTGCTGTTGACTTTGTGTAAGACAAGTCTGAAATATTTATAGTTGATTGATCACTGACTAGTGACTTTGTTATATTCTTATCTGATCCTTTAGTGCCGAACGAATTGTATCAAAGAGAATAATTGCATCCTATGCATCGAAGCTACTTTGCAGATTATCCAAGATTATTTTACAAATTTCTAAACCAATTGTTCTTGCTACTAAGTTGTTCATAAATACATATCTATCACCTGTTAAACTTAAGACTGTGTAAAATCTGTATTATTCAATAAACTTAGTAGAATTTTACAACGGAAATTTTCGAAAGAGTTCATTTAATGGTAACAATCACTTAAAAAGCAACCAGTACGATAACTAATCAACTACAAGAAGGAACAGAGCTAGTTTTTTATATTATTTTATTTATTTAAACACATAAACACTGGTACAAGGAGGCACCAAGTATATATGCGCCACACTTTGTTATTCGATTTATGTGATGGCTATAATGCTGTCCGAGCGCCTAAACTGAAGCAGATGGTTTTCTTAGAGAGTCACTCCTCGAGCACCTGAATAATCAACAAGGTAGTGGATCAACGTAAGAAGGTGCAGTTTCATGGTAGCCGGTGACCAACATACACTGTTTGCTCCCTCTACCCACCGTCGGTCGTACCAAGGTTTTTGGGGGTTTTATATTATTTGAGTTTTCTGTGCTAAATGGCTTAAATTGTAGAGCTTACATTCACATCTTTCTTTTTTCATAAAGTAGACATTAATGTTGTTATTTAAAATGACAATAAAAGCTCCGTAATTATACCATTTTCTAGTACACATAACTCAACAACAATAAAAATATTCAACTAAATTACAAATAATCACTTTCATTTCAGAACTGTTAATCTTATTTGATAGAACTTTTGTATACCATTAAATTCAATAATCAGAATAGTTACCATGTTAAAAATCTGCTTTTCATTTATTTATTTAAATAAATACCAGATAAATATTTGTAATAATTTGCTCTATATGTCTCATGCATCTATTAGAAAATCTACCACTGACAACATTGTTTCTAACCTTATTGATTGTGAATGACTCTAATTCAATAATTTTATGTTACAACAAGCAGACAAACATTTGAAAGTTCATATATAGTTGTTGCTTGAATTATATAATCTCCAATTTATATTTCATGTTGTTATTACATAACTTCATCACATATCCACAAATATGCACAAGCTGAGTAGTCAGTCTATTCTGAGTTGATTTGATAATTATGTTCAGAAAACCAAACGATTATCATACTGAACTAATATGACAGATATTAAAGAGCTTTTCTTAAATTAAAAATCTTTAACTGAAGTTTTCCACAACGTATTTTATTAAACACTTTATGAGAAATGTTTACAGTTATCCGTAACTGTTTACTATGAACATTTCGGTGTACCGAAGCCCCTATATCTATATCAAATATAGTGAACAGTAGATCTTGAGATCTAATGTCTTATGAAAATTATACTATTATATGCAGTACTCATTCACTAAATTTACATATTATTAATCTAAAGCGTTGTATGCAACATAGAAAACGTTGCGGGTAACGTTAGCTCATTAAGGTATACAGTTCTATCTCTAACTTACAATATTATCTAATATTAAATTATTTGGCAGTGTTAATTTAATTTTAATAGTTATCGATAACTGGTAATGATCATTAAAGTTTCACCTAAAGAGGGAAAGCATATCAGTGCTTGATAAACTCTCTACTTTAATTAGTGCAAAGTTAGCTCTCTTAAGATTATAGGTACTTCTGGCTGATGAGTATCGAGTAGCACAAACCTATGTCCGCCAGAGTTTCCTGCGCACTGCATCTAACCAACTAACTTCACAACATGGCGCATGCAATTTTAAGTCACGTAGAGTAGTAAACATATTCGAACTTGATATATAACATCCGGTCAACTATAAAGACTACACAAACGTGACGTTAGTGATTACTCAGCGTAGTAAATAATTCCACAATATTGAAATTTATTGTTGATTATTGTGGTTATATTATTTTTTAGTTCACTGTTCGTCCACTTCCTGAAAGAATTGTACAAATCCTTAAGGAACAAGAAGAAGCTGCATCAGATGACGATGATGATAGTAGTGATACATCAAGTACTGATACTGAAGATGATGATGAGGTAGAGGCAGAAGAAAAGCAAGAAACAGGAAATGATGTCGTAATAGATAATGAGGAAGATCCTGATATTGAAGTATTGTCACAGGAGGAATGTACTCAAGCAAGTATGGTTATTGTTGAACAATCAAAGAAATGTGATAATGACCTTTCTTCAAACAAAAGCAATATTGATGATAAAGAAGAACATGATTGTGATGGTGAAGATGATAATGGCGACGAACAAAATGTTTGTGGTCATACTAAACAACTATCCAGTAAACGTGATAATCAATGTTTATCAGTTTATTTGGATAAATCTTAAAGTATTCACATTTTTCAATTCACTCCCACACACTTTTTAGTGTTATTTTTATCTATCGACTTGCTGCATTCATACATTTTCTTTTGACTATATTTATGTATGTTACAATAAATTATATATAATGAACCCATGATATCAGTGTGTTCTTTGTTTCTACTATTATACCTGTTGCTTGTTTGTAGTTTAAATTCTTGAAATAGTTTCAACCGTCATTTATGTCGATTGACGACGTTCTCTGGTACATTAGCAGGTTAGAAAGCAACAGACAGTCAGGTCAAAATGTATCAGACAGTTTGTATAAGTGATGTAGGTAGATGCAGACGAATTGATTAGGGTATGCTGTATTATGTTAATCACTGACTAATCACGTTCAGTCACATGGTACAGATTTATTCATTCTTTGTCTTCCTTTAAATTTTGAGTTTTCTAACGTTCTTTTATTACTCTAGTTCATTTTTTTCTCCCTCTTGATACACCATCGTCTCTGCTCGTGAGATTTATCGCATTTGAACGGCAGACAAAAGGAAAATGAAAGGAGCTTCACTTACAGCGTTTGTTCCCTTATAGTATACGAAGTATTTATGTGAATCTAAGTGACCATATGTTTCTGACACATGTGAATTGGTGATAAAATTTTCATGTTATCAATGTAACTAAGGAAGAGTATAATAAGTTAATTTGTAGATTTTCTCGAACACTTGGAAAAGGGTGATTGATATATAAGTTGTTTCAAGCACTGTGACTTCCGATCAATTATTTGAGTATCCCAATCGCTTTCTAACTCGAAAATACATGTCTACAAGCGGATCAACAAAGCATAAGTTAACTTAGGATGTGTAAGGTAGTCCTGAACAAACAGGGCCCTACACCCCATCCTTTTGGAACTTTAATTTGAGCGATGGAGTATAATTGTTAGCCCTAAACCTGAATGTTGGAATCATACTCAAGTATTTAGTAGTTGGAACTAGTCAGTAATATATGCCTAAAAGGTTCCTGGTACTGATGCTTGCTGTGTCACTCAGTTTCACAGTCTATAACGTTACAGCTGAGTTATTTTGGCCTCAATTAACCAAACTGTGCCGCACACAGGAAAAAATGTGTCACATAATATTTTTCATTATTAATGTGCCAGTTATATCTTGGAACGTTAATCATGTACCGAATTCGTTGTTCAAAATTTTGATCATAGTGTCTCAACCAGTCACGAACTTCCAAATTACATCAAATAAGAAATCGTACTTTAACATAATCATGTCATAAGTGACAGGACAAGCAGTACATAATTAGTTAGCAGTATTAAGCGATAATAAAACACAATATTATAGTTGGATGACCTAATGTTTACAATAGTGGAATAGAACAGTACTTTACTGATCATGCAAATAAAATTATCCGGAAAATATCGACAAGAATCCTTACATTTCCAGTACTCGTCACATTTTAGACAAAAGATGTTTTTTATGAACAGTATGAAAATGTCTATTACCTCATGGTGTAGACTATATTTCATTTAGCCTAACCATTCGAAAAAAACAGTGAAAAATATCCAGACTATAGCCAGTTAAATAATGACGTTTAGTATGAACACTATTCCTATTAAATCTCATTATCGGGTGGATATCATAATCCAGATCTATTCCATAAACCGTTTTTAGTTTAAAAGTGTTACTCCGTTTGTAAGATTATTGTCTAGGTTGATATTAGCGAATTTATTTGCGCTACTGTAATGATAGACCTAATCCAATTTTGTGGAATTGCTATCATGTGACTACCTAATCCATAAAATCCTACATATAAGTCACATCATTGTCTTTGTTGAATCGTTCATTCTCTTTTTGTTATTTTGCATCACGTAGAAAACCTCTACCAGTAGCTCTTCTAGAGTTACTGTTAGTCCTAAGCTCAGGTAAACGAGGAGGGCTGGGCATAAGGTCGGCAACCCCATCCCACGTAAAACAACTTTACTAAAATAGACCATCCAGGTTAAACCATTAGAACCCTTTCATTTGAGCTGACGGAAGAATTATGACGCCTCATGATAATAGCCGAGATTCTTTGGAGGTTACGAGGCCAATGTCCCTTTTAACAACCAGAGCAACAATTAATGTAGTACATAGAATGTCCTGTCAATACAAGAGACTGGGGAGACTAATCAAATAGCCACAGAAATGAGGTGATACAACATGGCAGTGCTCTGAATCACTAAAACACATTAAAAACCTAACTGGACAGCATAGGTTAGATACTGGAGAGATGCTGTTTTGCTCTGTTCATAAAGAGGAGAACGCTCCACACACAGAAAGTTACTCTATTGCTGTTAAAGAAGCACGAAATGGGGATCTCGGATAATCAATGCATCATTCAAAACAAAAAAGGAGGTAATCACTATGACTGTTATCCGTCGTTATGTATACATCAATGATAGCAACAACGACGACAGAGATCAGTTTTACGAGAGGCTGCAATCAATCAAAGCGAAATGTCCAGGAAAGAGCCTGCCAGCCCTTATGGGAGACCCAAACGGCAAAGTTGCAATGGACAACAACGGTTTTGAAGATATTATGGAAATACATGAACTAGGAGAGGGTAAGGAAAATGTGGAGGTATTTACAAACTTATGTGCATTCAAGAAATTGTTTATCGGTGGCACAATATTCTTACACAAACGCATGCACAAATTTACGTGAATCTCATCGGAGAACCAGATCGACCATATTTGTATGGATAAAAAATTCATAAAGACGATGGGAGATGTGAGAATCTGGATGGGAGTTGACATAGCTTCAGATCACCAACTGGTCGCTGCCAAGATGAAATTGAAGCTAGAGAAGCATCGGACAACCAAGGAAATATCATTACAAGTGATCAATACAGCCTTCCTTCCAGATACTGACAAACTCAATGAATTGAAGATAACGGCAAGCAACATTTTACAATCCTTACAAGATCTACCCAACGAAGTGAAAACTACGATGGTTGAGAACTAGAAAAGGACCAAGAAGTACTAACTTCAAATTGTCAGGTCAGCAATAAGTATCATGATAAGGAATGGACTTCAATCGAAACCGTGGACAAGATTCAAGAAGGGATTAATGAGAATATAAAAGCTACCGACAGCAGAACAGGAACAAAGAAAGTCAAGACAAAGCTGAGTACACAGAAGTGAACAAGTTAGTGAAAGAGAGCAGTCAATGGAATTTAAGAATAGAGTAACAGACAGGTAGAATACTTCGTGAAACACTTGTATAGGACAGATCCATTTGATCCACCACCCTACAAATGCCACTCCACCAACGATCGAAGAAATCGGAATGACCGTTAAAAAATCAGCAGTGTGAAAGCAGCACTACCTGGTAATATGCCAGCCAAAGCACAGACGTCAGACAGGAGCTTTTGCAAACATGCTCCGTGTTCTTCTCAGGATAAGTTTTGGAGAAGAAAAAGTGTCAATAGACTGGAAAGAAGGATATCTCATCAAGGTACCAAAGAAAGACCTCGATAAATGTGAGGACTACAGAGGCACTACACTACTGTCAGTTCCAGGGGAAGTTTTCAACAGAGTGTAGCCGAACCGGGCGAAAGATTCAGTGGATACACAACTTTGAGACCAGCGGGCTGGAGATCAGTCATGTAGAGAACGGACCGCAACGCTACGGATCATCGTTAAGCAATCAATTGGATGGAGATCGTCGCTATGCATCAACTTTGTTGACTACGTGAAGGCGTTGAACAGCGTGAGTAAGGGAACCTTGTGCAGTTGCTTTTCACACCATGATATGTATGAGAAGATAGTCAACATCTCACGGAATTCACATGACGGACTGCACTGCAAGTTGTGTGTGAAGGCCTGCTGACAGATGAATTCCAAGCGAAGACCGGTGTCAGACAAAGCGGCTTACTTTCGCCTTTTCTTTCACTCCTGGTGGCCAATTGGATTTTGAGGACCTCCACATCTGAGAGGAAGCATGGAATAAAATGGACAGCTTGAGTACAGCCATACAGTTTGAACTTCATAAATGATGTAGCTCCTTTATTTCATACACGAAGACAAATGCATGGGAAGACAACCAATATAACGGCGACCATGACAACAGTAGTCCTTGACATGCACAGAGGATGAATCAAGCTCTTGAAGCACTACACAAATTGAGTTATATTTGATGGAGAAGCTTTGGGAGAGGTGGAAAGCTCTACTTATCTCGATACGATCACTGATAAACAAGGAGGATCTGACGATGACGTAATGGCACGGATCAGGAAAATGTACAAGTCATCATAATTTCTCCATCCACATAATTTCGTCGCAAAAGCTTAACCTCAAATCGAGATAGCGTACTTCTACAGAATTGATGTTCTGAGCTCTGATGCCAAACTACACCTATTAAGTGGTTGTTTATAAAGTCTCTCGCACACATTTCACACTTCAACTATTCAAAATCATTAAAGATGCGCTGAACAGGCGTCCAGTGGAAGTTCATAGAAACTACAGTGCGGCATCGACTCACTTCACAGACCTCTTGAATGTTGTGGTGAATAGGGAGCAATTTATGACTTTAACTTGTTGACAACACTACGAAAGGATTTATTTTTATATAGGTCGAATACAGCACGTTTAACAGCCAGTCAGTGGTTTATGTACTTGGAATTTTGCGTTACATATCCGTTTGTGTGTAGTGGATGTTACTCATAAGATTGCTTGCAAGCAATCTTTAGCAGAACGTAGCGTCTTAGATGTCAGATGAAGAATTTAATTATAGTACATCGAAAGTACGGAGTATCATAGAAGAGAAGACAGTTTAGATTGCAGAACACACACCAGTATAGATCACTAACTTAGATTATCTGCGTCGCACGAATATGAGCCCACTCGAGATAGACAAGAACGGTGTGGTCAATCTGTTAACTTCGAGGTCTCACTTCGCGATCGTTGTAGTGGCATTTTGCAATCTTAGGATTAGGTTTATTATTGGAGTAGTACTAATATCATTATAGACCATAATTCAAAATGTAGTCGTATAACTCAGTTTTATAGGGATCATCCAATTTTTCTTCTATTATATATTTTAATTACTGGCATTTTCCATAGCTAATCCCCAAATCAAAGATATTCATTATTGGTTTCTCGAAATCAC